GAATTGAGAAAAAACTGAGTTATTATAGAGAAAGTCTTTCAACTGTGAGTTTTCCAAAACTTCTACCAGTGCAAACAGTTTAGATATGGACGATAGTTCTCCAACTGGGACGGAGCTCCACCCTTATGTAAAGGGATGACGTAGGATGCTTTCCAGACTTTTGGAATGGTATTACTCACCAATGAAAGATTTAATATATGAGTGAGAGGGGCAGCAATGATGTCTGCACCAAGTTTTAGAAAATAAGGGTTTAATTCATCCAGGCCAGCCGTTTTCTTAATATCAATAGATTTGAGTGCCTTTACAACTTCTGAAAGCTCAATCTCTGTCAAATGAAATAGATTAACCACAGGCCGGCATGTGGCATTTTCATTCAAAGCCTCATTCGAGATGTTAGGAAGGAGTTCATTATCAAATAAATGCCCAGCTTTAGAAAAATGCTCATTAAACATGTCAAGCAGTTTATTCTTGTCCGTCACATCCATTGAATTTGAGGAAGACCAGAGGGGTCAGTGTTGGCGTTCATGGATTTAATGGTTTTCCATGATTTCGTCGGGTTATTGAGGTTTGACTTGGTAGATTCGTAATAGAAGCTAGATTTGCATTTCCGTATTAACAAGGTGCACTTATTTCTCAGTTATTTCTCAGTTCCCTGAATAACTGCCATTCAGGGGTTGTCTCCACCTCTTACCCGGTACTTTTTGAGAGGGGCGTGTTTATCCCAGATAGTAGAAAACATAGGAAAATGCCATGGTAGTATGTGGGCGAGCAAGCATTGAATGAACACATTATAGACAAATAGCAAGAGGGAGATGGATCACACATATATACATATACACCACTCTGCTTGGTAAACTGTTCCGACAGCAGTCAGTCAGTCAGTGAAAGGTTTATTGAACAGTTAGCCCACCACAGGTCAGTGAAAGGTTTATTGAACAGTTAGCCCACCACAGGTCAGTGAAAGGTTTATTGAACAGTTAGCCCACCACAGGTCAGTGAAAGGTTTATTGAACAGTTAGCCCACCACAGGTCAGTGAAAGGTTTATTGAACAGTTAGCCCACCACAGGTCAGTGAAAGGTTTATTGAACAGTTAGCCCACCACAGGTCAGTGAAAGGTTTATTGAACAGTTAGCCCACCACAGGTCAGTGAAAGGTTTATTGAACAGTTAGCCCACCACAGGTCAGTGAAAGGTTTATTGAACAGTTAGCCCACCACAGGTCAGTGAAAGGTTTATTGAACAGTTAGCCCACCACAGGTCAGTGAAAGGTTTATTGAGCAGTTAGCCCACCACAGGTCAGTGAAAGGTTTATTGAGCAGTTAGCCCACCACAGGTCAGTGAAAGGTTTATTGAACAGTTAGCCCACCACAGGTCAGTGAAAGGTTTATTGAACAGTTAGCCCACCACAGGTCAGTGAAAGGTTTATTGAACAGTTAGCCCACCACAGTGCTGCCCAGTCAGTCAGTGAAAGGTTTATTGAACAGTTAGCCCACCACAGGTCAGTGAAAGGTTTATTGAGCAGTTAGCCCACCACAGGTCAGTGAAAGGTTTATTGAACAGTTAGCCCACCACAGGTCAGTGAAAGGTTTATTGAGCAGTTAGCCCACCGCAGGTCAGTGAAAGGTTTATTGAGCAGTTAGCCCACCACAGGTCAGTGAAAGGTTTATTGAACAGTTAGCCCACCACAGGTCAGTGAAAGGTTTATTGAGCAGTTAGCCCACCACAGGTCAGTGAAAGGTTTATTGAGCAGTTAGCCCACCGCAGGTCAGTGAAAGGATTATTGAGCAGTTAGCCCACCACAGGTCAGTGAAAGGTTTATTGAACAGTTAGCCCACCACAGGTCAGTGAAAGGTTTATTGAGCAGTTAGCCCACCACAGGTCAGTGAAAGGTTTATTGAACAGTTAGCCCACCACAGGTCAGTGAAAGGTTTATTGAGCAGTTAGCCCACCACAGGTCAGTGAAAGGTTTATTGAGCAGTTAGCCCACCACAGGTAAGTGAAAGGTTTATTGAACAGTTAGCCCACCACAGGTCAGTGAAAGGTTTATTGAGCAGTTAGCCCACCACAGGTCAGTGAAAGGTTTATTGAGCAGTTAGCCCACCACAGGTAAGTGAAAGGTTTATTGAACAGTTAGCCCACCACAGGTCAGTGAAAGGTTTATTGAGCAGTTAGCCCACCACAGTGCTGCAGTTAGCCCACCACAGTTAGCCCACCACAGTGGGAACAGTTAGCCCACCACAGTGGGAACAGTTAGCCCACCACAGTGGGAACAGTTAGCCCACCACAGTGGGAACAGTTAGCCCACCACAGTGGGAACAGTTAGCCCACCACAGTGCTGCTCAATTCCAAGAGGAACAATAACCTTAGAACAGTCTAAGGGGAGTCAAACTCACTCCATGGAGGGCCCAGAACAGTCTAAGGGGAGTCAAACTCACTCCATGGAGGGCCCAGAACAGTCTAAGGGGAGTCAAACTCACTCCATGGAGGGCCCAGAACAGTCTAAGGGGAGTCAAACTCACTCCATGGAGGGCCCAGAACAGTCTAAGGGGAGTCAAACTCACTCCATGGAGGGCCCAGAACAGTCTAAGGGGAGTCAAACTCACTCCATGGAGGGCCCAGAACAGTCTAAGGGGAGTCAAACTCACTCCATGGAGGGCCCAGAACAGTCTAAGGGGAGTCAAACTCACTCCATGGTGGGCCTGGTGTCGGCAGGCTGTTGTTTATTACTTTCAATGAAGACCTAGACAACCAGGTGAGGGGAGATCCTTACTAGCTAGTGACCTAGACAACCAGGTGAGGGGAGATCCTTACTAGCTAGTGACCTAGACAACCAGGTGAGGGGAGTTCCTTACTAGTTAGTGACCTAGACAACCAGGTGAGGGGAGATCCTTACTAGCTAGTGACCTAGACAACCAGGTGAGGGGAGTTCCTTACTAGTTAGTGACCTAGACAACCAGGTGAGGGGAGTTCCTTACTAGTTAGTGACCTAGACAACCAGGTGAGGGGAGATCCTTACTAGCTAGTGACCTAGACAACCAGGTGAGGGGAGTTCCTTACTAATTAGTGACCTAGACAACCAGGTGAGGGGAGTTCCTTACTAATTAATGACCTAGACAACCAGGTGAGGGGAGTTCCTTACTAATTAGTGACCTACACAACCAGGTGAGGGGAGTTCCTTACTAATTAGTGACCTTAATTAATCAATCAAGTACCAAAACCCGCAGACACTTGGTCCTCTGTGGTATGAGTTTGACTCCTGTGGTCGAACGGATCTGGAACAATCACCTTCTATTCTAGAACAGTCTAACGGATCTGGAACAATCACCTTCTATTCTAGAACAGTCTAACGGATCAGGATCAATCACCTTCTATTCTAGAACAGTAACAGATCTGGAACTATCACCTTCTATTCTAGAACGATCTGGAACAATCACCTTCTATTACATTTACATTTTAGTCATTTAGCAGACGCTCTTATCCATAGCGACTTACAGTTAGTGAGTGCATACATTTGCATACTATTCTAGAACAGTCTAACAGATCTGGAACAATCACCTTCTATTCTAGAACAGTCTAACGGATCTGGAACTATCACGTTCTATTCTAGAACAGTCTAACAGATCTGGAACTATCACCTTCTATTCTAGAACAGTCTAACGGATCTGGAACTATCACGTTCTATTCTAGAACAGTCTAACGGATCTGGAACAATGACCTTTGTTCTAGGACAGTCTAACAGATCTGGAACAATCACCTTCTATTCTAGAACAGTCTAACAGATCTGGAACAATCACCTTCTATTCTAGAACAGTCTAACAGATCTTGAACAATAACCTTCTATTCTAGAACAGTCTAACAGATCTGGAACAATCACCTTTTATTCTAGAACAGTCTAACAGATCTGGAACAATCACCTTTTGTTCTAGAACAGTCTAATGGATCTAATTCTCTAATTGAAATCGTAGCGACAATCCGGCTTCGCTATTACTTCTCCATATAACCCCCCCACACACACACACACCCAGTCCCTTGGCAGACATGGTGACACAGAAGACTACATGTGATTTATGATAAGAGCTGCATGGTTTGTGTTTATGTGTGTCACTCCTATTCTCCTTTACCTCTCTGCGCTGGATGCCACAGACAGACAGACAGAGGGAGCCCACAGCCAGTTATGGGTTAAGGGTGAAGCTGAGATGGAGACAGACAGACAGACAGACAGAGGGAGCCCACAGCCAATTAGTGGTTAGTGGTGAAGCTGAGATGGAGACAGACAGACAGACAGACAGAGGGAGCCTACAGCCAGTTATGGGTTAAGGGTGAAGCTGAGATGGAGACAGACAGACAGACAGACAGAGGGAGCCCACAGCCAATTAGTGGTTAGTGGTGAAGCTGAGATGGAGACAGACAGACAGACAGACAGAGGGAGCCTACAGCCAGTTATGGGTTAAGGGTGAAGCTGAGATGGAGACAGACAGACAGACAGACAGAGGGAGCCCACAGCCAATTAGTGGTTAGTGGTGAAGCTGAGATGGAGACAGACAGACAGACAGACAGAGGGAGCCTACAGCCAGTTATGGGTTAAGGGTGAAGCTGAGATGGAGACAGACAGACAGACAGACAGAGGGAGCCCACAGCCAGTTATGGGTTAAGGGTGAAGCTGAGATGGAGACAGACAGACAGACAGACAGAGGGAGCCCACAGCCAATTAGTGGTTAGTGGTGAAGCTGAGATGGAGACAGACAGACAGACAGACAGAGGGAGCCTACAGCCAGTTATGGGTTAAGGGTGAAGCTGAGATGGAGACAGACAGACAGACAGACAGAGGGAGCCCACAGCCAATTAGTGGTTAGTGGTGAAGCTGAGATGGAGACAGACAGACAGACAGACAGAGGGAGCCTACAGCCAGTTATGGGTTAAGGGTGAAGCTGAGATGGAGACAGACAGACAGACAGACAGAGGGAGCCTACAGCCAGTTATGGGTTAAGGGTGAAGCTGAGATGGAGACAGACAGACAGACAGACAGAGGGAGCCCACAGCCAATTAGTGGTTAGTGGTGAAGCTGAGATGGAGACAGACAGACAGACGGAGGGAGCAGAGAGATTATCTCTCTTTCTCTCCCTCCTTTCTCCTTCTCCCTCCCCCCAGCCTCTGTTAGATGAGGGATGGAGGAGAGGGGGGAAGGAGAGGGAGGAAGGAGAGGAGAGTCGAGAGGAGAGGGAGGAAAGAGGAGATGGAGCGAGGAGGGAGGAGAGGAGAGGGGGGGGGAGGGAGAGGGGGAGGAGGAAGAGGAGAGGGAATGAGAGGTGAGGGAGGAGGGAGGAGGAGGAGGGAGGAGAGGGAGAGGGGGGAGGAGGGGGGAGGAAGGAGGGGAGGGAGAGGGAGGAGAGGGAGGGGGGAGGGAAGGAGAGGGCGGGAGGAAGGGAGGGAGGACGGAGAGGGAGGGAGGGAGGAGAGGGAGGAAGGAGAGGGAGGAAGGAGAGGGAGGGAGGGAGGAGAGGAGCCACATCAGAGCAGCTCCTACCTCATTAAGACTCCATCCATCCAACTGTTCCTTCTCAAATTGGTTCCACATGGGCCCCTCCTCAGTCATCCACACTACTCTCTATGTTCTGCAATATGCGCACCCACACACACACACACACACACACACACACACACATACATGCATACACTGAACAAAAATATAAATGCAACATGTAAAGTGTTGGTCCCATGTTTCATGAGCTGAAATAAAGGATCCCAGAAATGTTCCAAAGGAGCGTTCTCCTTTGCCAAGATAATCATTCCACCTGACAGGTGTGGCATATCAAGAAGCTGATTAAACAGCATGATCATTACACAGGCGCACCTTGGGCTGGGGACAATAAATGGCCACTCTAAAATGTGCAGTTTTGTCACGCAACACAATGCCACAGATGTTTCAAGTTTTGAGGTTGAGTGCAATTGGCATGCTGACTGCAGGAATGTCCACCAGAGCTATTGCCAGAGAAGTGAATGTTCATTTCTCTACCATAAGCCGCCTCCAACGTCGTTTTAGAGAATTTGGCAGTACGTCCAACCGGCCTCACAACTGCAGAACACGTGTAACCACACCAGCCCAGGACCTCCAAATCCGGCTTCTTCACCTACGGGATCGTCTGAGACCAGCCACCCGGACAGCTGATGAAACTGTTTCTGTCTGTAATAAAGCCCTATTGGGTGGAAAAACTCATTCTGATTGGCCGCGCCTGGCTGCCCAGTGGATGGGCCTGGGAGGGCATAGGCCCACCCACTTGGGAGCCAGGCCCACCCATGGCTGCACCCCTGCCCAGTCATGTGAAATCCATAGATTAGAGCCTACTGAACAGACACTGAACAAAAAAATGAATGCAACATGCAACAATTTCAAAGATTTTACTGAGTTACAGTTCATATAAGGAAATCAGTAGATTTAAATAAATTAATTAGGCCCTAATTTATGGATTTCACAGGACTGGGAATGCAGATATGCATCTGTTGGTCACGGCTACCTTAAAAAAGATGCAGGGGTGTGGATCAGAAAACCAGTCAGTATCTGGTGTGACCACAATTCGCCTCATGCAGCGCGACACATCTCCTTCGCATTGAGTTGATCAGGCTGTTGACCGTCATCTTTGCTTTGCACAAAAAGGGCTTCACAGGCAAGGATATTGCTGCTAGTAAGATTGCACCTAAATCAACCATTTATTGGATCATCAAGAACTTCAAGGAGAGAGGTTCAATTGTTGTGAAGAAGGCTTCAGGACGCCCAAGGAAGTCCAGCAAGCGCCAGGACCGTCTCCTAAAGTTGATTCAGCTGCGGGATCGGGGCACCACCAGTGCAGAGCTTGCTCAGGAATGGCAGCAGGCTGGTGTGAGTGCAGCTGCACGCACAGTGAGGCAAAGACTTTTGGAGGATGGCCTGGTGTCAAGAAGGGCAGCGAGGAAGCCACTTCTCTCCAGGAAAAACATCAGGGACAGACTGATATTCTGCAAAAGGTACAGGGATTGGACTGCTGAGGACTGGGGTAAAGTCATTTTCTCTGATGAATCCCCTTTCCGATTGTTTGGGGCATCCGGAAAACACCTTGTCCAGAGAAGACAAGGTGAGCGCTACCATCAATCCTGTGTCATGCCAACAGTAAAGCATCCTGAGACCATTCATGTGTGGGGTTGCTTCTCAGCCAAGGGAGTGGGCTCACAATTTTGCCCAAGAACACAGCCATGAATAAAGAATGGTACCAACACATCCTCCGAGAGCAACTTACCCCAACCATCCAGGAACAGTTTGGTGATGAACAATGCCTTTTCCAGCATGATAAAGCACCTTGCCATGAGGCAAAAGTGATAACTAAGTGGCTCTGGGAACAAAACATCGAAATTTTGGGTCCATGGCCAGGAAACTCCCAGACCTTAATCCCATTGAGAACTTGTGGTCAATCCTCAAGAGGCGGGTGGACAAACAAAAACCCACAAATTCTGACAAACTCCAAGCATTGATTATGCAAGAATGGGCTGCCATCAGTCAGGATGAAGCCCAGAAGTTAATTGACATACCAGGGCGGATTGCAGAGGTCTTGAAAAAGAAGGGTCAACACTGCAAATATTGACTCTTTGCATAAACTTAATGTAATTGTCAATAAAAGCCTTTGACACTTATGGAATGCTTGTAATTATACTTCAGTATACCATAGTAACATCTGACAAAAATATCTAAAAACACTGAAGCAGCAAACTTTGTGAAGACCAATACTTGTGTCATCCTCAAAACTTTTGACCACGACTGTACACACAATAGCCCATAACGACAAAGCAAAAACAGGTTGTTAGAAATTTTTGCAAACTTATTTTAAAAAACAACAACTGAAACCCCACCGCTGAAGTCGGTTACGACGCCAAACTGCAGTCAGGTCAAGACCCTGGTGAGGACGACGAGCACGCAGATGAGCTTCCCTGAGATGGTTTCTGACAGTTAGTGCAGAGATTCTTCAGTTGTGCAAACCCAAAGTTTCATCAGCTGTCCGGGTGGCTGGTCTCAGACGATCCCACAGGTGAAGCAGCTGGATGGAAAGGTCCTAGGCTGGCGTGGTTACACATGGTCTCAGACGATCCCACAGGTGAAGCAGCTGGATGGAAAGGTCCTTGGCTGGCGTGGTTACACATGGTCTCAGACGATCCCACAGGTGAAGCAGCTGGATGGAAAGGTCCTGGCTGGCGTGGTTACACATGGTCTCAGACGATCCCACAGGTGAAGCAGCTGGATGGAAAGGTCCTGGGCTGGCGTGGTTACACATGGTCTCAGACGATCCCACAGGTGAAGCAGCTGGATGGAAAGGTCCTGGGCTGGCGTGTTTACACATGGTCTCAGACGATCCCACAGGTGAAGCAGCTGGATGGAAAGGTCCTAGGCTGGCGTGGTTACACATGGTCTCAGACGATCCCACAGGTGAAGCAGCTGGATGGAAAGGTCCTGGGCTGGCGTGGTTACATGCAGTTGTGTAAAGTACTTAAGTAAAACTACTTTAAAGTACTACTTAAGTAGTTTTTTGGGGTATCTGTACTTTACTTTACTATTTATATTTTTGACAACTTTTACTTTTACTTCACTACATTCCTCAAGAAAATAATGTACTTTTTACTCCATACATTTACCCTGACACCCAAAAGTACTCGTTACATTCTGAATGCTTAGCAGGACAAGAAAATTGTTCAATTCACGCACTTATCAAGAGAACATCCCTGGTCATCCCTACTGCCTCTGATCTGGAGGACTCACTAAACACACATGCTTGGTTTGTAAATAATGTCTGAGTGATGGAGTGTGCCCCTGGCTATCTGTAATGATGTCTGAGTGTTGGAGTGTGCCCCTGGCTATTTGTAAATGATGTCTGAGTGTTGGAGTGTGCCCCTGGCTATCTGTAAATGATGTCTGAGTGTTGGAGTGTGACCCTGGCTATCTGTAAATGATGTCTGTGTGTTGGAGTGTGACCCTGGCTATCTGTAAATAATGTCTGAGTGTTGGAGTGTGCCCCTGGCTATCTGTAAATTAAAAAACAAGATTGTCCGTCTCGTTTGCTCAATATAAGGAATATGAAATGATTTATACTTTTACTTTCATACTTAAGTATATTTTAGCAATTACATTTACTTTTGATACTTAAGTATATTTAATACCAAATACTTGTATACTTTTACTTTTACTTGAGTCATTTTCTATTAAGGTATCTTTACTTTTACTCAAGTATGACAATTGGGTACTTTTTCCACCACTGGTTACACGTGATCTGCGGTTGTGAGGCCAGTTGGACATACTGCCAAATTATCTAAAACAAATTTATATTTTTGTTTAGCACACACACACACACACACACACACACACACACACACACACACACACACACACACACACACACACACACACACACACACACACACACACACACACTGTACATGTATCTGTTTATTTAACACAGCATCTGATGAATAAGCCAATCATTTCTGTTCATGGCTTGGTATCACATCAGGCCAACTCTGGGAACATGTTCAATAATGTTACATTGACTATTAGATTTTACACTGTTGAGGTATGAGTAATATAATAAATATGATTTAATAGTTTGCTGATGTCTTGGCACTGGTCTTTAAAATAGATTGTAAAATAGATTTCTAATCTTTAAGGGACCACATGAATAAAGGACACATACTGTCAATACATCAAAATGTGGTTTTCATGAAGGGAAAATACAGCTAAATGAATGAATGTTTTTGATTATGTTTTTTAAACAGGGTTCTCCCTCTCTCCTTCTCCCTCTCCATCCATCTCTCTCTCTCTAGGTTCGTCAGACCTCAGTCCGTTCCCAGGTCAGTTTGAGCGTCAGTTCCCGGGTCTCTCCTCTCTGACGGAGTCTGGTTTCTCAAGTCCCAGAATGCACTACCCCACCACCTTCACCTACACCCCTCCTGTCACCTCCGCCATGTCACTAGGCTCCGCCCACTACCACACCTACCTGCCCCCTCCCTACCCTGGTTCCACCCAGAGTCAGAGTGGACCCTTCCCGACCAGCAGCACACCTTATCTCTACTATGGAGCCTCCTCTGGGTCGTACCAGTTCTCCATGGTTCCCGGGGGGGACCGCTCCCCCTCCAGAATGGTTCCTCCCTGCACCAGCGCCTCCACCGGCAGCTCCCTGGCTAACCCTAACCTGCCCAGCCAGGCAGATGGGGGTGTGGAGGGGGATGGGAGTCACAGCAACTCCCCAACCATACTCAACCCTGCTGGGGGACGCATGGATGAAGCTGTCTGGAGACCTTACTGAGGAGAAAAGGAGGAAGAGGAGGAGGAAGAGGAAGAGGAGGAGGAAGAGGAGATGATGATGAAGAGGAGGAGGAAGATGATGAAGATGATGAAGAGGAGGATGAGGAGGAGGAGGATGATGAAGAGGAGGAGGATGAAGATGATGAAGAGGAGGAGGAGGAGGAGGGGAGGAGGATGAGGAGGAGGAGGAGGAGGAAGAGGATGAAGATGATGAAGAGGAGGAGGAGGAGAAGAAGGCAACATAAACTAATGTTATGGTTTTAAAGCACAAAACCTTTCAAGTGAATTTTTGAGTTCTGATTAAAAAGCAGCAATACTCCAGTATCATCCACAACCTACGGGACAACGCTTCAGGCTATTTGTAGCAGTCAGCTTGATTTGTATAGTATTTCTATTTCTATAAGGCTTTTAGCTGAGTATGTTTTAACAGGACTATATAACAGGACTATATAACAGGACTATATAACAGGACTATATAACAGGACTATATAACAGGACTATATAACAGGACTATATAACAGGACAATATAACAGGACTATATAACAGGGACTATATAACAGGACTATATAACAGGACAATATAACAGGACTATATAACAGGACTATATAACAGGACCATATAACAGGACTATATAACAGGACTATATAACAGGACTATATAACAGGACTATATAACAGGACTATATAACAGGACAATATAACAGGACTATATAACAGGACTATATAACAGGACTATATAACAGGACTATATAACAGGACCATATAACAGGACTATATAACAGGACAATATAACAGGACTATATAACAGGACTATATAACAGGACAATATAACAGGACTATATAACAGGACTATATAACAGGACTATATAACAGGACTATATAACAGGACTATATAACAGGACAATATAACAGGACTATATAACAGGACTATATAACAGGACAATATAACAGGACTATATAACAGGACTATATAACAGGACTATATAACAGGACAATATAACAGGACTATATAACAGGACTATATAACAGGACCATATAACAGGACTATATAACAGGACAATATAACAGGACTATATAACAGGACTATATAACAGGACTATATAACAGGACTATATAACAGGACAATATAACAGGACTATATAACAGGACTATATAACAGGACTATATAACAGGACTATATAACAGGACCATATAACAGGACTATATAACAGGACTATATAACAGGACAAGCACTGAGTAGCAAAAGAGGACAGGAACACGTACAGTATGTTACCATGGTGATGATGAGAGTAACACGTGTGTTGCCATGGTGACGATGAGAGTAACACGTGTGTTGCCATGGTGCTGATGAGAGTAACACGTGTGTTGCCATGGTGATGATGAGCGTAACACGTGTGTTGCCATGGTGATGAATATGAACATCAAGTTTGCTTTAAAATGTCTATACACTCATTTTAAATCAATTAATTTAAATTGTATATTATTGGTGGAAAGATGATGATGATGATGGGTTGTGGAGTTTTAACTTATGAAGCCATAAATTATGTAATGTATTTTAAAACTGGAGTGGTAGAATTGTAATCTGAATATTTTTATGCATTTATGTGATTACGTTAACAGTCTTTTTCATAGGTAATTTAAGTGAAATTATTTGCAACAACAAAAATAGTTTTACCTTAATATTTTTTTCAAATATGTTGTAAATTTAAAAATTCCTCTCCAAAGGGAATGAAAAGCTCTTTCCTCTGTAAACAATAATAATTTAGCCTGAATGATAAAGCAACGACACACTAGATTACAGAGTAAAAACAGCAGGCTCTGAATTCATACAGCAGTACAATACAACAACAGCATGTATTATGACAAACTGACAATCTGCCTCTCACCACATGGTTTTACTTCCATCAGGAAAACTTTTTTTTACCATTGTCAGATTGAATCTGTTTGTAATGTCTATTCTGTAGATGAGCTACTACATAGATCCTGGTAGCCAGGTATCCCAAAGATCAGGGTGGTTGTACCAGGCCTTTTGGTGTCCACAATATAATGTACTGTAGCCTTTTGGTGTCCACAATACACCACCGTACGGTAGCTCATCATACCTTAATATAGTGTTGATGATACTATACCCTATTCATGACTGGAATTACACTCAGTTCAATATGAGCCACATACACTATCTACATGAACAATCACATATAGGATTGCAAAATTCTGGTAACTTTCTCAAAACTCCCCGGTTTTTCCAGAAATCCTGGTTGTAAGACGTCTACAATTATGAGGGAATAAGCAGGAAATCCGGATATCCTCCAATCTGGATTTTCTGGAAAACCAGGAAATTTTGGGGAAAGTTTCCAGAATTGTGCAACCCTAGTCACATTCATGTTCACTACAGTAAATCATTATATTTCCATTCGAGATGTAGCCCTGATAGCAACCTGTTATTTCCCTGTTCACTACAGTAAATCATTATATTTCCATTCGAGATGTAGCCCTGATAGCAACCTGTTATTTCCCTGAAACCATCATTGTTCTGGTCTGGTCTGGTCTGATGTGCAACAGATGACTTTCTAAAAGTATATATTGGTGTCTAACACTCAAAAACACAATAATATTTTATTTATTTTACTTTTCATTTATGAATAAATGAATAATCTGCCCACTGTTGTTAGACATTTGTAAAAAAAAAAATGTTTTATTATGGATCAAAATCTGTTTTGTCTTTGAGTTTGTTTCTTATTTTGCTGTAGTTATTTTCTGTTTTCCCACCAGAGTATCCAGTGTTAATTTCGTCAACAAAAACAGTGAGGAAAATATTTGTCAAACACCTATTTTTCAGTGGCAATAGATGAGACAATAACTGACTAAATAGACCTACATTTCTAATAAATTATCGATATTTAAAAAATGTTTTGGGGATGTGGATTTTCGTTTAGTTATAGTTAGATGAAACTATAACTAATGCAATTTATTTGAAATATTGATAATATATTTGCTTTTCTGTCTCAGTGTGTGTAGACCATGTATCTGATGCAGTATGATATGTCACTCTTTTCATCAGATTCATGGTCTAAATCAAATCACATCAAAATTTATTGGTCACATCCACATATTTAGCAGATGTTATTGCGGGTGTAGTGAAATGCTTGCGTTCCTAGCTCCAACAGTGCAGTAGTATCTAACAATTTACAACAATACACACATCTAAAAGTAAAAGAGTGGTTTGCACTTTCAGTTGCCACGGTTTTTGGTTTGGGTAGGTTTGAATAGTCACAGTTGGTACAACATCTCCAATACACTTCCTGATGAACTCAGTCATTGTGTCCGTGTTTACGTCAATGTTATTCTCAGATCCGGAAACATATCCTAGTCCACGTGATCAAAACAATCTTGAAGCATGGATTCCGATTGGTCAGACCAGCGTTGAATAGATCTTAGCATGGGTACTTCCTGTTTGAGTTTCTGCCTATAGGAACGTAGGAGCAGGATAGAGTTGTGATCTGATTTGCCGAACCTTAATTAAGAAGGTTTTCGGGAAAGTATTTCTGTCAACCCACAAGATGGTTATCACATCAACTGCTTAAAAACGGAGTGGTAGACAAACGCGCGCACCACACACACAGGCTGGCAAACGGGTAATACTACTGGTAATTAATTGGCAGACATTTTTGTTAGGTTTGGCTTTTTAAACCAATAGTGGCTAACCAGGGGTGGGATAATGTCAATGTTGCACTGATTAGATAGTATCTGGGAGCTTGCGGTGTCTGATTCTTGTGAGATTTATTTATGACAGTTTATGGTGGAAGACGTGAAAATTGCATGTACTTTGATAATGTTTTGGCGAGCTACTTACAGGTGGGCTGCGAGCTACTGGGAGCGATCGGCCAGCTGGAGATCCTTGCTCTACACTATACTTGCTTGTTTTGTCACAAACTGAAAGTAGGCAAACTATTAGAATTTTAGCAACCAGGAAATGGCGGAGCGATTTCTGCATAGTGCATCTTTAAACATAACACTGAAAACAAATGTATACACTACCAGTCAAAAGTTTGGACACACCTACTCATTCCAGGGTTTTCTTTATTTTTACTATTTTCTACATTGTAGAATAATAGCGAAGACATCTAAACTATGAAATAACACATATTTAATCATGTAGTAACCAAAAAAGTGTTAAACAAATCAAAAAATATTTTATATGTGAGATTCTTCAAATAGCCACCCTTTGCCTTGATGACAGCTTTGCACACTCTTGGCATTCTCTCAACCAGCTTCATGAGATAGACACCTGGAATGCATTTCAATTAACAGGTGTGCCTTGTTAAAAGTGAATTTGTGGAATTTCTTTCCTTCTTAATGTGTTTGAGTCAATCAGTTGTGTTGTGACAAGGTAGAGGTGGTATACAGAAGATAGCCCTATTTGGTAAAAGACCAAGTCCATATTATGTCAAGAACAGCTCCAATAAGCAAAGCGAAACGACAGTCCATCATTACTTTAAGACATGAAGATCAGTCAATATGGAACATTTCAATAACTTTTGAAAGTTTCTTCAAGTGCAGTCGCAAAAACCATCAAGCGCTATGATGAAACTGGCTCTCATGAGGACCGCCAAAGGAAAGGAAGACCCAGAGTCACCTCTGCTGCAGAGGATAAGTTCATTAGAGTTAACTGCACCTCAGATTGCAGCCCAAATAAATGCTTCACAGAGTTCAAGTAACAGACACATCTCAACATCAACTGTTCAGAGGAGACTGCGTGAATCAGGCCTTCATGGTCGAATTGCTGCAAAGAAACCACTATTAAAGGACACCATTAATAAGAAGAGACTTGCTTGGGCCAAGAAACACGAGCAATGGACATTAGACTGGTGGAAATCTGTCCTTTGGGCTGATGAGTCCAAATTTGAGATTTTTGGTTTCAACCGCTGTGTCTTTGTGAGATGCAAGGCAGGTGAACGGATGATCTCTGCATGTGTGGTTCCCACCGTGAAGCATGGAGGAGGAGGTGTTATGGTGTGGGGGTGCATTGCTGGTGACACTGTCAGTGATTTATAAAAAATTCAAGGCACACTGAACCAGCATGGCTACCACAGTGATACGCTGCAGCGATACGCCATCCCATCTGGTTTGCGCTTAGTGGGACTATCAATTGTTTTTCAACAGGACAATGACCCAACACACCTCCAGGCTGTGTAAGGGCTATTTGACCAAGAAGGAGAGTGATGGAGTGCTGCATCAGATGACCTGGCCTCCACAATCACCCGACCTCAACCGAATTGAGATGGTTTGGGATGAGTCGGACCGCAGAGTGAAGGAAAAGCAGCCAACAAGTGCTCAGCATATGTGGGAACTCCTTCAAGACTGTTGGAAAAGCATTCCAGGTGAAGCTGTTTGAGAGAATGCCAAGAGTGTGAAAAACTGTCCTCAAGGCAAAGGGTGGCTACTTTGAAGAATCTAAAATCTAAAATATATTTTGATTTGTTTAACACTTTTTTGTGTTATTTCAATGTAGAAAATAGGAAAAATAAAGATAAACCTTTTAAATGGGTAGGTGTGTCCAAACTTTTGACTGGTACTGTTTATATTAATTTATTTTGTAATTTATCTCGCAACACAATATTTTCTGAATCCTGTTTTTTGTCATATTTTTGGATAAAGAGCAAGCCAAAATTATACAGTTCATTTTTCCTAATATTTCCTAATCATCTTCAAACTGTGCCATTTGTTAATTCCAAATGACTTGCATATTACTAAAATCACTGATCTTAATGCAATTGACTAAAATACCCCTTCCGTGCATGTATTTTCAAAAGTTAAAAGGGGACTTAAGCATAACAAAGTGACTTTTTTGGAAAAAAGTAATTTTTCCAAGGTCTTACAGCTAATATTGGTGTATTGGGATGTGGATATGTGTGTTTCTAAGGTATATTAGATGTATTTCTAAAATGAATGGGATTCTGTGGGCAAATGGCATAACATGATATGCCTATAGTATCTAAATATGTGGGATATGGACCAACAACTGTCTGGGATATCAAACAACAGTAAAGGTACAGTGCTAAAACAGGAACACAGTCACAGGCCCTCCTCCTATACGTGGCGGGGTTCCTCTTTGTTGAAACACAAACTCCAGATTCTGGCTTTAATCAAATCAAACTTTAAACACATACACATATTTAGCAGATGTTGTTGCAGGTGTAGTGAAATGCTTGTGTTCCTAGCTCCAACAGTGCAGTAGTATCTAACAATTCACAACAATACACACATCTAAAAGTAAAATAAATATATAAATATTAGGACGAGCAATTTTGAAGTGGCATTGACTAAAATACAGTATATACATATGAAATGAGTAAAGCAGTATGTAAACATTATTAAAGTGACCAGTGATTCCATGTCTATGTACATAAAAAAAATAACGGATTTAAGAAATATATAAATATTAGGACGAGCAATGTTGGAGTGGCATTGACTAAAATACAGTAGAATAGAATACAGTATATACATATGAGATGAGTAAAGCAGTATGTAAACATTATTAAAGTGACTAGTGTTCCATTATTAAAGTGACCAGTGATTCCATGTCTATGTATATGGGGCAGCAGCCTCTAAGGTGCAGGGTTACGTAACCGGGTGGTAGCCGGTTAGTGATGGCTATTTAACAGTCTGATGGCCTTGAGATAGAAACTGTTTTTCAGTCTCTCTGTCCCAGCTTTGATGCACCTGTACTGACCTCGCCTTCTGGATGATAGCGGGGTGAACAGGCCGTGGCTCGGATGGTTGATGTCCTTGATGATCTTTTTGGCCCTTCCTGTGACACCGGGTGCTGTAGGTGTCCTGGAGGGCAGGTAGTGTGCCCCCGGTGATGAGTTCGGCAGACCACACCACCCTCTGGAGAGCCCTGTGGTTGCGGACGGTACAGTTTCCGTACCAGGCGGTGATACAGCCCGACAGGATGCTCTCAATTGCGCATCTGTATAAGTTTGTGAGGGTTTTAGGGGCCAAGCCAAATTTCTTCAGCCTCCTGAGGTTGAAGAGGCGCTGTTGCGCCTGCTTCACCACACTGTCTGCGTGGGTGGACCATTTCAGTTTGTCAGTGATGTGTACGCCGAGGAACTTGAAGCTTTCCACCTTCTCCACTGCGGTCCCGTCGATGTGGATAGCTGGGTGCACCCTCTGCTGTTTCCTGAAGTACACGATCATCTCCTTTGTTTTGTCGACATTGAGGGAGAAGTTATTTTCCTGACACCACACTCATTTTACATTTTTTTTTTTTTTTTAAGTTTTGTAAACTCCCAGGGCCCTCACCTCCTCTCTGTAGGCTGTTTCGTCATTGTTGGTAATCAAGCCTACTACTGTTGTGTCGTCTGCAAACTTGATGATTGAGGTAGAGGTGTGCTTGGCCACGCAGTCATGGGTGAACAGGGAGTACAGGAGGGGGCTGAGCACGCACCCTTGTGGGGCCCCTGTGTTGAGGATCAGCGAAGTGGAGATGTTGTTTCCTACCTTCACCACCTGGGGGCGGCCCGTCAGGAAGTCCAGGACCCAGTTGCACAGGGCAGGGTTCAGACCCAGGGCCTCGAGCTTAATGATGAGCTTGGAGGGTACTATGGTGTTGAAGGCTGAGCTATAGTCAATGAACAGCATTCTTACATAGGTATTCCTCTTGTCCAGATGGGATAGGGCAGTGAACAGTGTGATGGCGATTGCATCGTCTGTGGATCTATTGGGGCGGTAAGCAAATTGAAGTGGGTCTAGGGTGACAGGTAAGGTAGAGGTGATATGATCCTTGACTAGTCTCTCAAAGCACTTCATGATGACAGAGGTGAGTGCTACGGGGTGATAGTCATTTAGTTCAGTTACCTTTACTTTCTTGGGTACAGGAACAATGGTGGCCATCTTGAAGCAAGTGGGGACAGCAGACTGGGAAAGGGAGAGATTGGATATGGGGACAGCAGACTGGGATAGGGAGAGATTGGATATGGGGACAGCAGACTGGGATAGGGAGAGATTGAATATGTCCGTAAACACTCCAGCCAGCTGGTCTGCGCATGCTCTGAGGACGCGGCTAGGGATGCCGTCTGAGCCGGCAGCCTTGCTGGGGTTAACATGCTTCAATGTCTTACTCACGTCGGCCACGGAGAAGGAGAGCCCACAATCCTTGGTAGCGGGCCGCGTCAGTGGCACTGTGTTATCCTCAAAGCGGGCGAAGAAGGTGTTTAGCTTGTCCGGAAGCAAGACGTTGGTGTCCGCGACGTGGCTGGTTTTCCCTTTCCCCTTTTCCCTTTGTAATCCGGGATTTAAGTCAATTAAATGGGGTTTATACGCCCATATACTCCTGTATGAGTCTGTGAACTAGGCCCTCCCAGTCACAGGCCCTCCCAGTCACAGGCCCTCCCAGTCACAGGTCCTCCCAGTCACAGGTCCTCCCAGTCACAGGCCCTCCCAGTCACAGGCCCTCCCAGTCACAGGCCCTCCCAGTCACAGGTCCTCCCAGTCACAGGCCCTCCCAGTCACAGGCCCTCCCAGTCACAGGCCCTCCCAGTCACAGGTCCTTCCAGTCACAGGTCCTCCCAGTCACAGGCCCTCCCAGTCACAGGTCCCTCCCAGTCACAGGTCCTCCCAGTCACAGGTCCTCCCAGTCACAGGCCCTCCCAGTCACAGGCCCTCCCAGTCACAGGTCCTCCCAGTCACAGGTCCTCCCAGTCACAGGCCCTCCCAGTCACAGGCCCTCCCAGTCACAGGCCCTCCCAGTCACAGGTCCTCCCAGTCACAGGCCCTCCCAGTCACAGGCCCTCCCAGTCACAGGCCCTCCCAGTCACAGGTCCTTCCAGTCACAGGTCCTCCCAGTCACAGGCCCTCCCAGTCACAGGCCCTCCCAGTCACAGGTCCTCCCAGTCACAGGTCCTCCCAGTCACAGGCCCTCCCAGTCACAGGCCCTCCCAGTCACAGGCCCTCCCAGTCAACACCACCTCATAAGATGAGGAAGTACATTGGTTATGAGGATTGCCTGCTGCAGTTGTTGGAGAGATGTCCAGTTTGCCGAACACGTAACACAGAGAAGACCAGCAAGGGGGCCCTCAGCATCACGCAGACCTCACTGTGAGTATTCCTAGAAATGGAACAGGGGGACACTTGAATCAAGTCGGTGACATTTGACCTGGTCAAAGGTCAAAACAGTTTCAAGTTTTGTCCCAATTCACCTTCATAACCTAGCCTGATGGCAGCGTTTACCATTCTATTTCACTTGACATACAGTATCATGATATCTGAAGTGAAATAGAAAGGTGAATGCAGCGATCAGGTTGGTTCCACCACACTAATCATAACCACCATTGATAATGTAATCAGTGCTCTGTGTGACCAACCAGGGGCCAGGAGCTGATCAACGCTGCTATGCCCATAAACGGGGCTCTGGCAAAGACCTCACCTCCAGCCTCACCTCTTGCCTGCTCACCAACGATCGTCGATGGGGATACCAGAATTAGGTAGGTTTGGTCTGACCTGTTCAAACTTCAACATAGTACCTGTCTGTGTGTCAGATATCACCTATCCTAACTGCCATTGGTAATAGAACAGTGACTATGTGTGTATGTGTTCACAGAAACATGTGTGGAGCCAGCACATGGAGACTTGCAAGATGATGTGATGAAGTCCACTCTGACAGACGGGCTTGATACTGATGTCTCTGAATGGAGAGAGACCTGGCACTCTGACAGACGGGCTTGATACTGATGTCTCTGAATGGAGAGAGACCTGGCACTCTGACAGACGGGCTTGATACTGATGTCTCTGAATGGAGAGAGACCTGGCACTCTGACAGACGGGCTTGATACTGATGTCTCTGAATGGAGAGAGACCTGGCACTCTGACAGACGGGCTTGATACTGATGTCTCTGAATGGAGAGAGACCTTCCACTCGGTATACATTATTTACTAGACACAACTTTGACTTGTATTGTCTTTTTTTAATTATTGAATTTTCAATGACATCAGTCAATATGGGGAGGGAGAAACCCTGTGCATTCTGCAGCAGGACCAGGGAACTCCTGAAGATATGACCACTAACATGTTACCAAGGTAACCCCATTACCACCAGACAGGAAGGTATGACCACTCTGACATGTTACCAAGGTAACCCCATTACCACCGGACAGGAAGGTATGACCACTCTGACATGTTACCAAGGTAACCCCATTACCACCAGACAGGAAGGTATGACCACTCTGACATGTTACCAAGGTAACCCCATTACCACCAGACAGGAAGGTATGACCACTCTGACATGTTACCAAGGTAACCCCATTACCACCAGACTAAATGCTGATAGTCACAGTATCTGTATCGGCTGGAAATGACAATGAAAGGTGAAAGGTTCACATTGTTATATTATCAGAACACTGCTTCTATGGTGTTATGTAAAGGGTTGTTTATTCTACATGGACCTGTTACTACATTTGAAAGTTATCAAAACACTTAGTTTAGAATATCTACATAAATTCAGCAATTGCATTCTTCTCATATTACTCTGTAGGCTACTGACCTATTCAAAGCTTCCTCCGGCATCTCACCATACATCTGCCTGTAGTTATTGAACTCAACCTGCCGGAGGTTTGTTTGTTGTGATTGAGCGGGGGAAACAGCTGCGGGCAAGACTCTGACAGGTGGGTGTGTCTTGGTTGTGGGAATGACACACCAAGAAACACCCACATCAAACCACACCTCCCAAAGTAACTCACGTTTGGGTTCTGTCGTGGATGCCAGCATTTCTTGAGGACCAAGCCAAAAAACAAGGCCCAATCAGCGGGTGTAGTTATTTCAAGTAAATTGAAATACATTTGCCAAAATCATATATTTACTCCTGTCTATACAGAAATAAATACAATTTGAGCAGCACGCGTGGCAATAGGCCTAGCTGATTATTGAGTTGCAGCTAATAATGTGTCTTGAGTATAATAAAACATGTTGAGACAAGAAGGGGAGGGGTGTGTGGTGAAGATATGGGCGTCTCTCTCCAGAATGCATGTGCTCAGCTCTCCAGAATGCATGTGCTCAGCTCTCCAGAATGCATGTGCTCAGCTCTCCAGAATGCATGTGCTCAGCTCTCCAGAATGTGCTCCGCTGTCTCCCACCAATTCTTCCACATTAGTTGTTTCACTGTGTGAATTATTTGCCCATTGATTGTTTATTTTGATCAATTCCCATGACATATGTCACCTGTAGTAAATGTACCGTTAACCCCCGTCATTTTGCTACACATATTTGTTAATGCATGTATTAATTAGGTCATTTAGTGGAAATGCTGTTTGCAGAGTTCACAAACTGTTACAATTTTGAGAAGCAAGTTTTGGTTTATTTCATAACCAACATTTAAGAGTTTTGAAAATATTTTCATTGTCTTTGGTTTTTGGAGTGCTCCATGAGCACGTGTCTGGTTCCTCTGTGCTGTTAATGTTGAAGAGTGCCTGAGGATGCACAGAAGTACCTGGCCAAAATCTCTCTGTCTCAATTCAATTTTTCAAGTTAAGGGCTTTATTGGCATGGGAAACGTGTGTTAACATTGTCAAAGCAAGTGAAGTAGATAGTAAACAAAAGTGAAATAAACAATAAATATTAACAGTAAACATTACACTCAGAAGTTTCAAAAAGAATAAAGACATTTCAAATGTCATATTACTGTAAATGTGCATTTGAAAATCAACTGGCACGCAGATCGGTAGAAATGGTAGGATAAATTGTAAGCTTCCCCAAACTTGAAACTCACACACCACCTATGATCAGCAGGCCCAGCTGCAGGATGGCATGCCAGAGGGGACATTTTAAATCCATTAGAACTATAGGCAACATTGCTGTTGAATTTGTGACGTATTGAGCCAAGCTGACACAACCAATAGACTGGTTATTGTCCCGATACCCATAAAATAACGCAAAGCTGTATGTCTATAAATAGCAATTAGACCCACAAAAGCAAGTATCCTAATGACATTAAGAATCACATCTAAAAGATGCATTGAGGTAAAAATCAGAGGCCTAAACATTACGTTAAAAAAAACTACCAAACACCAGTAGGCTTATATGACGGAAACCAATGAATAAATCATTATTGCACGGTGCCATAAATGTTGTAGTTTACCAATTAGAAGAGTTGCAGCCTCCTCTATGCTCTATGTTGAACCTCAAGAGAAATGTCTGATTCCATTCTCCTTCCTAGCTACATTTACATGTCAGGTCCCTCTCAAATGGCAGCTGGACATTCTGGGCTTTTCATTGATGTAACATGCTTTGTGTTCACTGAATACGTTCTTCAGGGTGGAGAACGAATTTTCGCAAATTGCTGTAGATGCCAACGAAATGTTAATCATGTTTCAGTGCCAACAGCACAGTCGGCATTGCTGACAAAGGCCCGCCGTATCTTTGAAGAACACTGAGTGGGGTCTATTTGTTGCTGGGGTAACGCTGGCTCCTCATCACCGAGGTGGTCAGGTGACTGGCTCCTCATCACAGAGGTGGTCAGGTGACTGGCTCCTCATCACAGAGGTGGTCAGGTGACTGGCTCCTCATCACAGAGGTGGTCAGGTGACTGGCTCCTCATCACAGAGGTGGTCAGGTGACTGGCTCCTCATCACAGAGGTGGTCAGGTGACTGGCTCCTCATCACAGAGGTGGTCAGGTGACTGGCTCCTCATCACAGAGGTGGTCAGGTGACTGGCTCCTCATCACTGAGGTGGTCAGGTGACTGGCTCCTCATCACTGAGGTGGTCAGGTGACTGGCTCCTCATCACCGAGGTGGTCAGGTGCTAGTAGCTGGCGTAACAGAGGTGCAGGTGTTTGTTGTGATGTTACCCTGGTGCTGCTGGTGCTGCTGGTGCGGCTGGGGCTGCTGGTGCTGCTGGTGCGGCTGGGGCTGCTGGTGCTGCTGCTGGTGCCCTGGCTATTCTTCATCTTGTTGGTCAGCAGGCGGCAGATGGGCGGGTTTTACATTTTGCAGGCTGGTCGGCATTGCCCCTCCTCCAGGCATATACAGTGGCTTGCTAAAGCACTCACCCCCCCTTGGCATTTATCCTATTTTGTTGCCTTACAACCTGGAATTAAAATTGATTTTTTTTTTTTTGGGGGGGGGGGGTTGTATCATTTGATTTACACAGCATGCCTACCACTTTGAAGATGCAAAATATTTTTTATTGTGAAACAAACCAGAAATAAGACAATAAAACAGAGAACCTGAGTGTGCATAACTATTCACCCCCCCCAAAGTCAATACTTTGTAGAGCCACCTTTTGCAGTAATTACAGCTGCAAGTCTCTTGGGGTATGTTTCTATAAGCTTGGCACATCTAGCCACTGGGATTTTTGCCCATTCTTCAAGGCAAAACTGCTCCAGCTCCTTCAAGTTGGATGGGTTCTGCTGTACAGCAATCTTTAAGTCATACCACAGATTCTCAATAAGATTGAGGTCTGGGCTTTGACTAGGCCATTCCAAGACATTTAAATGTTTCCCCTTAAACCACTCGAGTGTTGCTTTAGCGGTATGCTTAGGGTCATTGTCCTGCTGGAAGGTGAACCTCCGTCCCAGTCTCAAATCTCTTGAAGACTGAAACAGGTTTCCCTCAATAATTTCCCTGTATTTAGCGCCATCCATCATTCCTTCAATTCTGACCAGTTTCCCAGTCCCTGCCGATGAAAAACACCAAACGTGTTTGCTTATTTTATTTCTTTAAGCAATGGCTTTTTTCTGGCCACTCTTCCGTAAAGCCCAGCCCTATGGACAGATACTCCAATCTCCGCTGTGGAGCTTTTCAGCTCCTTCAGGGTTATCTTTGGTCTCTTTGTTGTCTCTCTGATTAATGCCCTCCTTGCCTGGTCCGTGAGTTTTGGTGGGCGGCCCTCTCTTGGCAGGTTTGTTGTGGTGCCATATTCTTTCATTTTTTTAAATAATGGACTTAATGGTGCTCCGTGGGATGTTCAAAGTTTCGGATATTTGTTTATAACCCAACCCTGATCTGTACTTCTCACAACTTTGTCCCTGACCTGTTTGGAGAGCTCCTTGGTCTTCATGGTGCCGCTTGCTTGGTGGTGCCCTTTGCTTAGTGGTGTTGCAGACTCTGGGGCATTTCAGAACAGGTGTATATAGACTGAGATCATGTGACACTTAGATTGAAGACAGGCAGACTTTATTTAACTAATTATGTTAAAGAAGTTATGACTTCTGAAGGTAATTGTTTGCACCAGATCTTATATCCCTCATTAAAATGCAAATCAATTTATAACATTTTTGACATGCGTTTTTCTGGATTTTTTTGTTGTTATTCTGTCTCTCACTGTTCAAATAAACCTACCATTAAAATTATAGACTGATCATGTCTTTGTCAGTGGGCAAACGTACAAAATCAGCAGGGGATCAAATTCTTTTTTCCCTCACTGTATTCTGTGATACATTTGGGTTAACTTGCTCATATCAAGCAACACATACCAGACCAGTTGCACCAGATCTTATTGAGGGGCTTCATAGCAAAGGGGGGTGAATACATAAGCACGCACCACTTTACCGTTATTTATTTTTTAGAATTCTTTGAAACCAATTTGGACTATTCTGTGTCTGTCCATTACATGAAATACAAATACAAATCAATTTAAATTACAGGTTGTAATGCAACAAAATAGGAAAAACGCCAAGGGGGATGAATACTTTTGCAAGGCACTGTAGCCTCTGTCCCGGTGTGCGCTACTGGCAGGCCCGCCGGGTATGGTACTGGCAGGCCCGCCGGGCATGGTACTGGCAGGCCCGCCGGGCATGGTACTGGCAGGCCCGCCGGGCATGGTACTGGCAGGCCCGCCGGGCATGGTACTGGCAGGCCCGCCGGGCATGGTACTGGCAGGCCCGCCGGGCATGGTACTGGCAGGCCCGCCGGGCATGGTAATTCATATACCATTTGTTATGTTTATGGGGAAACAAAACTGGAGGACAAAACTTGGAGGGGGGGTGCACACATTCTATCAGGGGGTCCATGCCCGGCTTTGCCACCCCGGCTTTGCCACCCCGTAGAGCCAGCAATCAGATTAAAACATCATGACTGGTTGTGTTCATGCCACATTAAAAGATAATACATTTTTACAGTTAATTTATGTCTTTACTATAAACCCATTACAGTTTTTTCCAATTGCTAACACACTAAAATGACATGCACAGCACAATTATTTAAACTGACACACAGAGAGCAAAACCTCTTCTCAAGTCTCCAAAAGTCTAAACACATTTTCTGCTTTACACACATTTTGCAATTCAAAATGGCACTTTTTAAATGCACTGCACACGGTTCTCTGCATAAGACACAACAATCTGACATAAAGTCACATGTTTGCCATTTCAAAATATTGCCATTCAAAATGACACTATATGAGCTAATTGGCCAATACATGTGCCTTCATGAATGGCTGATGTCATACACTAACTGCACAAGTTTCCTGTACAATTTACTCTACTGTGGGGGAAATATCTTTAGGCTGCATTGTCCAAGCCCTATATATTTTTTGTTTTGTTTTTCTAAAGGACTGAGAGACGCAACCATGGTGGAGGAAGGGGCCAAATGTTCACCGGGGTACAGGAAGCTGCCATTGTAAACTTGGTTTTGGAAAATAATGAAATCAGATGACGAGAAATTCAAAGCCACATCATCCAAGACAACACCATATTCAACAACATTCAACGAGTCAGTCTGTCCACATTGGCTCGCATTCTCAAGCGAAACCAAATCAGAATGAAACAACTTTATAAGGTGCCGTTTGAGAGAAACTCTCAAAGAAACAAAGAGGTCAGACGAGCATATGTGGATGTAAGTACAATATTGACTGCAGTACACTACACGCAACATTGTTTCCCAGTGTACTGGATAACACCATATTGACTGCTTTTGTTCTTTGTTTTCAGGGAGTACTGGAAATGGATGCTCATGCAATCCCACGTGAGTTCATCTTTATAGATGAGGCTGGCTTCAACCTAGCAAAGACCAGAAGAAGGGGGAGAAACGTCATTGACCACAGAGCCATTATAGATGTTCCTGGCCAACGTGGTGGGAACATCACAATGTGCGCTGCCATCTCCAATACGCATGGTGTCCTCCACCGTCATGCCAACCTTGGACCATACAACACAGCCCATATTCTCACATTTCTGAACAGACTCCACAACATTCTCATACCACCAGAGCGTATGAATGATGCAGACCATCAAAGAACCCGGTACGTTGTAGTATGGGACAACGTGAGCTTTCATCGTGCAGCTCCAGTCCAAAACTGGTTTGCTGACCACCCACCATTTATCATGCAATACCTCCCACCATACTCACCATTTCTGAACCCCATAGAAGAGTTCTTTTCGGCATGGCGGTGGAAGGTATACGACCGGCAGCCCTTTGTGCGCATGCCTCTTGTGCAGGCTATGGAAGAGGCATGTGATGAGATTGATGTGGGTGCGATTCAGGGATGGATAAGGCACTCAAGGCGCTTCTTCCCTCGATGTCTGGCAAGGGAAGATATTGCCTGTGATTTGGACGAGGCGTTGTGGCCAGACCCAGCTGTGATGTGGACGAGGCAGGCGTTGTGGCCAGACCCAGCTGTGATGTGGACGAGGCAGGCGTTGTGGCCAGACCCAGCTGGGATGTGGACGAGGCAGGCGTTGTGGCCAGAACCAGCTGTGATGTGGACGAGGCGTTGTGGCCAGACCCAGCTGTGATGTGGACGAGGCAGGCGTTGTGGCCAGACCCAGCTGTGATGTGGACGAGGCAGGCGTTGTGGCCAGACCCAGCTGGGATGTGGACGAGGCGTTGTGGCCAGACCCAGCTGTGATGTGGACGAGGCAGGCGTTGTGGCCAGACCCAGCTGGGATGTGGACGAGGCAGGCGTTGTGGCCAGACCCAGCTGTGATGTGGACGAGGCAGGCGTTGTGGCCAGACCCAGCTGTGGTGTGGACGAGGCAGGCGTTGTGGCCAGACCCAGCTGTGGTGTGGACGAGGCAGGCGTTGTGGCCAGACCCAGCTGGGATGTGGACGAGGCGTTGTGGCCAGACCCAGCTGTGATGTGGACGAGGCAGGCGTTGTGGCCAGACCCAGCTGTGATGTGGACGAGGCGTTGTGGCCAGACCCAGCTGTGATGTGGACGAGGCAGGCGTTGTGGCCAGACCCAGCTGTGATGTGGACGAGGCGTTGTGGCCAGACCCAGCTGTGGTGTGGACGAGGCGTTGTGGCCAGACCCAGCTGTGATGTGGACGAGGCAGGCGTTGTGGCCAGACCCAGCTGTGATGTGGACGAGGCGTTGTGGCCAGACCCAGCTGTGATGTGGACGAGGCAGGCGTTGTGGCCAGACCCAGCTGTGATGTGGACGAGGCGTTGTGGCCAGACCCAGCTGTGGTGTGGACGAGGCAGGCGTTGTGGCCAGACCCAGCTGTGATGTGGACGAGGCAGGCGTTGTGGCCAGACCCAGCTGGGATGTGGACGAGGCAGGCGTTGTGGCCAGACCCAGCTGTGATGTGGACGAGGCAGGCGTTGTGGCCAGACCCAGCTGTGGTGTGGACGAGGCAGGCGTTGTGGCCAGACCCAGCTGTGGTGTGGACGAGGCAGGCGTTGTGGCCAGACCCAGCTGTGGTGTGGACGAGGCAGGCGTTGTGGCCAGACCCAGCTGTGATGTGGACGAGGCAGGCGTTGTGGCCAGACCCAGCTGGGATGTGGACGAGGCAGGCGTTGTGGCCAGACCCAGCTGTGCGGAAAGATGCTGCCTAATTATTTATCTTGCCTCTTTTTTTTCTATATATTTTTTCTGCAATTGTCTTTTTCAGTTTACTGTTTTTTTGTGAGCATATTTTTGTTCAGTCCAATATAAATATATCTGCTGTGCATATGTTGCACTGACTTGTTTGGTGAAAAAAATAAAAATTTAAAATACATGTTTCAACAGGATGTGAAAATATTTCTGTGCATGTGAACAATCTGAAGAATTTTCTACAATTTGAACTATTTTAGTATTATGGCAAAGCATACTAAAGATGACAGTGCTTTTCATTATACCCAACAGTGTGTAGTTGGTTAGATATGAATGAAGCCATTTCGTGCTATAACTAAACTAAACTATATGTCGTTTTGGTTGCAGCGCTGCAGTACCTGCCTGCTCTTATCAGTGACCGTCTGATCCACTGGCCACACATGTCCCCCTCCTCTGGTCACCCAGGTATCGGCGCTGCCTGACCGGAAGGTTCTGGTGGCCTACCTTGGCTAAGGACGTGAGGGTGTATGTCTCCTCTTCCTCCCCCACGACGCCAGGACAGCGGAGTCACTCACCACCTTCCGGAGACACTTGAAACCCCACCTCTTTAAGGAATACTTGGGATAGGATAAAGTAATCCTTCTACCTCCCCCCCCCCCCTTACCCCCCCCCACCAAAAAAAATACAAAATTGTAAAGTGGTTATCCCACTGGCCATAAGATGAATGCACCCTCTCCCCTCTACCAAGGTAACACTCTGGATAAGAGCGTCTGCTAAATGACGTAAATGTAAATGTAATGCTCAGTGTGCGTAAGGATCCTAGGCACCTCCCAGCGGGTAAGTTACAGCCTTTACCAGTTCCACAACGACCTGGTCTGTGTTGATTTTCTAACTGATCTTCCCCAAGGTACCAGCCTGGTCACTTTCAAGTGAATGAGAGTAGTTTGGACTCTGGACACTTCCGCTGGAGTCCACTAGATGGCAGTCTAACCACTGAGTCTGACTGGGTTTGTTTCAACACTATTTCAATGTAATTCATCAAACCAATTCATCAATATAATATATGCAATAACATATCAGAGATGCACCATTTGAATTGGAATGTTTTAGACGTTTATTTCCATTTTTTATTTCAATATGTAAATTATAGCAACAACCGTTCCCTCATATTTAATGTTGGCCTCCCCTCTTCCTTACGTAGCATCAATGGAGACAACGGACAGTAACTGACAGTATGAGGAACTGACAGGTACAGACAGGAAGAGACAGGAACAGACAGTAACTGGCAGTGACAGTAACAGTCAGTATTAGAGAGGGACTGACAACAACAACAACAACAACAACAACAGACAGTAACTGACAGTAACAGACACTGACAGTAACAGAGAGTAACAGAGTAACACAGAGTAATTGACAGAAACAATGACTGAGAGTAACAGCCAGTATTAGAGAGGAACAGAGAGGAACAGAGAGGAACAGAGAGGGACAGAGAGGGACAGAGAGGAACAGAGAGTAACAGAGAGGAACAGAGAGGAACAGAGAGTAACAGAGAGGAACAGAGAGGAACAGAGAGGAACAGAGAGGAACAGAGAGGAACGGAGAGTAACAGAGAGTAACAGAGAGGAACAGAGAGGAACAGAGAGGAACAGAGAGGAACAGAGAGTAACAGAGAGTAACAGAGTAATTGACAGTAACAGTGACTGACAGTAACATACCGTACGTAACATTAACTGACAGCAACAGACGCTAGAGCTGAGCCCTGCTGTTGTTGCTGTCTCTCAGTCAGATGGCAACCTGATCTGAACTCTTCACCTAAACCCTTTATAGTCCAAGCCAACCTGATCTGAGCTGGACCCTAAACCCTTTATAGTCCAAGCCAATTAGCATAACAAATCCCCAAGCTACTGTGAAGAAAGGCTCTGGCAATGTAGAAATTAGTAGAAAGGCCTGTTGAAGGAGCTCAATGATCCATGGTGTGTGATTCACAACTGTCCAGACAGAGACAGAGACACACACACACACACACACACACACACACACACACACACACACACACACACACACACACACACACAGAGAGACAGACACCAGGGTTGGGTTCAATTCAGAATGTTGGAATTTACTCATTTCATGAGTTGAAATTCGAATAGAGCTGGCTACACCCCACAAGATGTAGAATTTGAGTTTGAGTGACAGGAAGTAGAATGTAATCCAGTTCAATTAAATTCCACTCAGTCATAGAACATGACTGTTTCATTGAATCTGACAAGGTCACAGTTACAGACACCAAAGAATATATCATGTTTCTCTGAAAACAACGTTCATATACTCTTAACCTTAACGCTTAGAATAGGCAATTATATTTTCTCGACAAACAATGCAGTTATATTATAAACTACATTATATACTGAACAAAAATATAAACGCAACTTGCAACAATTTCAACGATTTTACTGAGTTACAGTTCATATAAGGAAATCAGTCAATTTAAATGAATCAATTAGGCCCTAAAACTTTGAAAGTTTCTTCAAGTGCAGTCGCAAAAACCATCAAGCGCTATGATGAAACTGGCTCTCATGAGGACCGCCACAGGAATGGAAGACCCAGAGTTACCTCTGCTGCAGAGGATAAGTTCATTAGAGTTACCAGCCTCAGAAATTGCAGCCCAAATAAATGCTTCACAGAGTTCAAGTAACAGACACATCTCAACATCAACTGTTCAGAGGAGATTGTGTGAATCAAGCCTTCATGGTCGAATTGCTGCAAGGAAACCACTACTAAAGGACACCAATAAGAAGAAGAGACTTGCTTGGGCCAAGAAACACAAGCAATGGACATTAGACCGGTGGAAATCTGTCCTTTGGGCTGATGAGTCAAAATTTGAGATTTTTGGTTCCAACCACTGTGTCTTTCTGAGACGCGGTGTGGGTGAACGGATGATCTCCGCATGTGTATTTCCCAACGTAAAGCATGGAGGAGGAGGTGTTATGGTGCTTTGCTGGTGACATAGAGGAGGTGTAATGGTGCTTTGTCTGTGATTTATTTAGAATTCAAGGCACACTTAACCAGCGTGGCTACCACAGCATTCTGCAGCAATACACCATCCCATCTGGTTTGGGCTTAGTTGGACTATCATTTGTTTTTCAACAGGACAATGACCCAACACACCTCCAGGCTGTGTAAGGGCTATTTGACCAAGAAGGAGAGTGATGGAGCGCTGCATCAGATGACCTGGCCTCCACAGTCACCCGACCTCAACCCAATTGAAATGGTTTGGGATGAGTCGGACCGCAGAGTGAAGGAAAAGCAGCCAACAAGTGCTCAGCATATGTGGGAACTCCTTCAAGACTGTTGAAAATGAATTCCAGGTGAAGCTGGTTGAGAGAATTCCAAGAGTGTGCAAAGCTGTCATCAAGGTAATGGGTGGCTATTTGAAGAGTCTCAAATATAAAATATATTTTGATTTGTTTAACACTTTTTTGGTTACTACATGATTCCATATGTGTTATTTCATAGTTTTCATGTCTTCACTATTATTCTACAATGTCGAAAATAGTAAAAATAAAGAAAAACCCTGGAATGAGTAGGTGTGTCCAAACTTTTGACTGGTACTGTATATATATATATATATATATATATATATATATATATATATATATATATATATATATGTATATATGCCAACTCAGTTTGATTCTCAACACGCCGCTAAGCTAATGACAGAGCAATTGGGCCCAAGAGTCCATGCATCTAAAGCCCTGTTAGTAATTTGAGGGTGGTAAGTAACATTATTCAGATCACATCTCTAAGCTTTTTGTGACAGAGTAGCCATTGTGTGTTGATTTTCTAATTATGGAACTAATGCACTCTGGGAAATGTAGAATTTTCCCCATATTGAACAAAATTTAAGAGATTAATGAAAACATAATATTCACATAAAGGATTTGTTTTTTCCTTTATCATTTTAAGAGTTAGTCCTAAAAATCAATTGTTTCAACAATATCCTATATGCATGTATATACAGTGGGGGAAAAAAGTATTTAGTCAGCCACCAATTGTGCAAGTTCCCCCACTTAAAAAGATGAGAGAGGCCAAATTGAGAAAAAAATATCCAGAAAATCACATTGTAGGAATTTTAATACATTTATTTGTAAATTATGGTGGAAAATAAGTATTTGGTCACCTACAAACAAGCAATATTTCTGGCTCTCACAGACCTGTAACTTCTTCTTTAAGAGGCTCCTCTGTCCTCCACTCGTTACCTGTATTAATGGCACCTGTTTGAACTTGTCAGTATAAAAGACACCTGTCCACAACCTCAAACAGTCACACTCCAAACTCCACTATGGCCAAGACCAAAGTCAAAGGACACCAGAAACAAAATTGTAGACCTGCACCAGGCTGGGAAGACTGAATATGCAATAGGTAAGCAGCTGTGGGAGCAATTATTAGGAAATGGAAGACATACAAGACCACTGATAATCTCCCTCGATCTGGGGCTCCATGCAAGATCTCACCCCGTGGGGTCAAAATGATCACAAGAACGGTGAGCAAAAATCCCAGAACCACACGGGGGGACCTAGTGAATGACCTGCAGAGAGCTGGGACCAAAGTAACAAAGCCTACCATCAGTAACACACTACGCCGCCAGGGACTCAAATCCAGCAGTGCCAGACGTGTCCCCCTGCTTAAGCCAGTACATGTCCAGGCCCGTCTGAAGTTTGCTAGAGTGCATTTGGATGATCCAGAAGAGGATTGGGAGAATGTCATATGGTCAGATGAAACCAAAATAGAACTTTTTGGTAAAAACTCAACTCGTCGTGTTTGGAGGATAAAGAATGCTGAGTTGCATCCAAAGAACACCATACCTACTGTGAAGCATGGGGGTGGAAACATCATGCTTTGGGGCTGTTTTTCTGCAAAGGTACTAGGACGACTGATCCGTGTAAAGGAAAGAATGAATGGGGCCATGTATCGTGAGATTTTGAGTGAAAACCTCCTTCCATCAGCAAGGGCATTGAAGATGAAACGTGGCTGGGTCTTTCAGCATGACAATGATCCCAAACACACCGCCCGGGCAACGAAGGAGTGGCTTCGTAAGAAGCATTTCAAGGTCCTGGAGTGGCCTAGCCAGTCTCCAGATCTCAACCCCATAGAAAATCTTTGGAGGGAGTTGAAAATCCGTGTTGCCCAGCGACAGTCCCAAAACATCACTGCTCTAGAGGAGATCTGCATGGAGGAATGGGACAAAATACCAGCAACAGTGTGTGAAAACCTTGTGAAGACTTACAGAAAACGTTTGACCTGTGTTATTGCCAACAAAGGGTATATGACAAAGTATTGAGAAACTTTTGTTATTGACCAAATACTTATTTTCCACCATAATTTGCAAATAAATTCATTAAAAATCCTACAATGTGATTTTCTGGATTTTTTTCTTCTCATTTTGTCTGTCATAGTTGACGTGTACCTATGATGAAAATTACAGGCCTCTCTCATCTTTTTAAGTGGGAGAACTTGCACAATTGGTGGCTGACTAAATACTTTTTCCCCCACTGTAACGGCATGTTTTATGTAGGCTACAAGATATATATTAGACACATAAAGAATAGAAGAGGCATTTGAATTTCACTGAATTCATTTATATTTCATTTCACTCAATTCTGTGTCCTGTTTACTACTTGGAATTTGAGGCATTCTTAACTTAATTCTGAATTGAGCCCAACCCTGACAGACACACATACACACAGGCAGACAGACACACAGACAGACACACAGACAGACAGACACACAGGCAGACACACAGTCAGACAGACAGACACACAGGCTGACAGACGGTGACGTTATCTATTGATCATGTCCACCTTGAGTCGTAGCGAGCTGATGGGGTCTTGACAGAACACAGCAAGGTATTCCAGAACCCTGGAGTTCTGTTTCCGCTCGTCCTGCCGGGCTCGATGCTGCTCCTTCTCCCATCTCTCCTTCTCCCCGTCCACCTGGGCCAGAACACTCACCTGGACCGACCTCACCGTGGCGGCCAGCAGGAACAGTGCCCCCTGTAGGATGTGACAGACTACCGCACACAGACTGAGCCCGGCTCCCAGCAGGTCCGGACCCACTTCACACATCACACACACGCCCTCGAGAAGAAGCGGAGACGCCCGGCCAGCGGAGGCGGGGCCATGGTTCACCAGGTGACAGACAAAGCGGGCGAGGTGCAGGGCGGCGCGGCGCAGCGGGACCAAAGCCAGGTACAGGTGACACGCGGCTTTAGTGAGGGCGTGGAGGAGGAGCCGCAGCTCCAGGACGGCGTTGCCTGGAGACAGGAGATAAGGGTAACCCCCGGTTACTAACTGGGTCAGCTGCTGCTGTCTTAGAGTCAGGAGGCATTAGGCTACAAAACACTGTTTAACATCCCATTCATTAATCTGCTTTGATTAAAGGCCGACGTGTCTCACCTGATTTACTGCCAGACAGACAGACAGCCAGACAGCCAGACAGACAGACAGACAGACAGGCAGACAGACAGACAGACAGACAGACAGACAGACAGACAGACAGACAGACAGACAGACAGACAGACAGACAGACAGACAGACAGACAGACAGACAGACAGACAGACAGACAGACAGACAGACAGACAGACAGACAGACAGACAGACAGACAGACAGACATACAGACAGACAGACAGACAGACAGACAGACAGACAGACAGACAGACAGACAGACAGACAGACAGACAGACTGACAGACAGACAGACAGACAGACAGACAGACAGACAGACAGACAGACATCGGTTGCTTCCCAAATGGCACCCTATTCCCGATATAGCTCCCAGGTTTTGGACCTGACCTAAAGGGGTCTGGTCAAAAGTAGTTCACTATGTAGGGAATAGGCTGCCATTTGTGACACAGACATAGTGTGGTGCAGCTATTATAGACCACTATAGGTCTCTACCCTGTCCCAGCTGTAATCTATAGACCACTATAGGTCTGTACCCTGTCCCAGCTGTAATCTATAGACCACTATAGGTCTCTACCCTGTCCCAGCTGTAATCTATAGACCACTATAGGTCTGTACCCTGTCCCAGCTGTAATCCATAGACCACTATAGGTCTCTACACTGTCCCAGCTGTAATCCATAGACCACTATAGGTCTCTACCCTGTCCCAGCTGTAATCCATAGACCACTATAGGTCTCTACCCTGTCCCAGCTGTAATCCATAGACCACTATAGGTCTGTACCCTGTCCCAGCTGTAATCCATAGACCACTATAGGTCTCTACCCTGTCCCAGCTGTAATCTATAGACCACTATAGGTCTCTACCCTGTCCCAGCTGTAATCCATAGACCACTATAGGTCTCTACCCTGTCCCAGCTGTAATCTATAGACCACTATAGGTCTGTACCCTGTCCCAGCTGTAATCCATAGACCACTATAGGTCTGTACCCTGTCCCAGCTGTAATCCATAGACCACTATAGGTCTCTACCCTGTCCCAGCTGTAATCCATAGACCACTATAGGTCTCTACCCTGTCCCAGCTGTAATCCATAGACCACTATAGGTCTCTACCCTGTCCCAGCTGTAATCCATAGACCACTATAGGTCTCTACACTGTCCCAGCTGTAATCCATAGACCACTATAGGTCTTTACCCTGTCCCAGCTGTAATCCATAGACCACTATAGGTCTCTACCCTGTCCCAGCTGTAATCCATAGACCACTATAGGTCTGTACCCTGTCCCAGCTGTAATCTATAGGTCTCTACCCTGTCCCAGCTGTAATCTATAGACCACTATAGGTCTCTACCCTGTCCCAGCTGTAATCTATAGGTCTCTACCCTGTCCCAGCTGTAATCTATAGACCACTATAGGTCTGTACCCTGTCCCAGCTGTAATCCATAGACCACTATAGGTCTCTACCCTGTCCCAGCTGTAATCTATAGACCACTATAGTTCTCTACACTGTCCCAGCTGTAATCTATAGACCACTATAGTTCTCTACACTGTCCCAGCTGTAATCCATAGACCACTATAGGTCTCTACCCTGTCCCAGCTGTAATCTATAGGTCTCTACCCTGTCCCAGCTGTAATCCATAGACCACTATAGGTCTCTACCCTGTCCCAGCTGTAATCCATAGACCACTATAGGTCTCTACCCTGTCCCAGCTGTAATCCATAGACCACTATAGGTCTCTACCCTGTCCCAGCTGTAATCCATAGACCACTATAGTTCTCTACACTGTCCCAGCTGTAATCTATAGACCACTATAGTTCTCTACACTGTCCCAGCTGTAATCCATATTGAACAGTGACACTAAACCCTCCTTGACGTCTACATGTTTTCTCACCACATCTTTCAGGTGTTAATCTAAATAGGACCCCCCCCAATGGAAAGATATATAGAATCAGATCAGCTGTTCCCATCATGCCCCTGTGGGACCAGGTTGTGCAGGAGACGGGAACAGGGACAAGGGTAGCCTAAGTTTGGGAGGGGTGTTGCCTAATATAGCCTAACAATAATGGGAGGGGTGTTGCCTAATATAGCCTAACAATAATGGTAGGGGTGTTGCCTAATATAGCCTAACAATAATGGGAGGGTTATCATCCTCATATTCTGATTGAACTCCCAGTGGCTGTAGTCTCTGGTAGCCTAGTGGTAGGTAGATGCAGCCTACATTTCGTTGTGTTTAATTGAATCTGTCAGTTTAGCTGGGTCCACCACCTGTTATAGCGCTTCTCTAGCGCTGTCATGTAGACTTACTTGTTTCGTTTTCTTATTTCTGCCTCTAGAATGTTTGGTACAATCGCCAGGTATGGTGGTGTATTGCTCTTGTTGTTGCTACGGTTAAATCAATTAAATGTTTTATAACAAATGTAATTAAAGCTGTAATCATACCGCAATTAGGAGGAAGACCAGTGCCCGTGCTGCACCGTTCCCTTGACGAAGAAAGCTTCCATACCTCTGCTAACCAGGTTCTCTTACCGTCGACATAACACAGGAGCCAGAGGAAGGCTATACTCGCAGCCAGGGTAGTCCACCAGTCCATGGCATGTAGTCTAGCTGTCCTCTCGCTCTGCCGAGTGGACGATGCCTGCTGCAATAAGGAGTCTCTGTGCGCTAGTGTACAGGCACCGCACGACACGGCACGGTGCGGTTCCTGACCAAGGTCAAGTAAATGTTATACTGGATATTCGATGGATTCGATTTTCTCGTCAATAGCTATTGAATCAAGCATACCACGACTATGAAAATTATATATTCTGAAACAGGGTAGGATGGAGAAAAATCCACGCCTTTAAAAAAATGACATTTGAAGGATTGAAGCATGCCATTACTATGATAAATATATATTCTGAATCAGAATATTTTCAACAAAACATCCACGTCTTTTGTTTTATTGAAATGTTAAACTTCTGATTCAGAATATATCATTTTCAAGGTCATGGCATGCGTTTAATCTTCAATAGCTCTTAAAACAAATCACGCCATTACTATGACAATTATATATTCTGAATCAGAAGTTTAACATTTCAATAAAACAAAAGAGGTGGATTTTTCTCCATCCTCCTCTGATTCAGAATATACAATTTTCATAGTCATCGCATGCTTGGTTCAACAGCTGATAGAAAACCGAATATCCAATATAAAACTAATTTGACCTTGGTGTTGGCGGTACCATCTCAAGGCGGCTAAACTACAGTATGAGCTACCACGGCAGAGAGAGACAGTAGGTGTGCCAACTGTAGCTGCGAAGAACAGACAGAGCTGGATCAGGTGCCCAGAGGCGCATTGGGGGCTCATTCCGTCCTGAGTTAAGCACCTAATTCCTCTTTTTATGCACTTTATTCTCTATGCGTATTCTGACCTTGAATTTAAGCATGAGAATAGCATGCTAATTTACCCGCTATTCGTTCCGGGTGGAGATCTAAGCAATGCCGTATTCTGACCTTGACTTCATTCCCTCATAATTCCACCACGTTTTATGCGTGAGGAAACCATGAATAAGGTCGAGCGAACCTTCCAGTTCCAAGTGGAAAAAATATCGACTTATTTTTTTCTGATAGAAATAACAGCATTGTCCATGCACAGTAATTTATACATTGACAAGAGCTATTGATAAGAGCTAGGATTTGGTCCTCTGTAGCTCAGCTGGTAGAGCACGGCGCTTGTAACGCCAAGGTAGTGGGTTCGATCCCCGGGACCACCCATACACAAAAAATGTATGCACGCATGACTGTAAATCGCTTTGGATAAAAGCATCTGCTAAATGGCATATTATTATTTTAAATACATTGTAAACTGTAAATAATAATCCCTGGAGATGATGTGAAACCAGTCATATGGAAGCAAACTGAAAATCACATCAAGACGACATGTATTGGGTCCCCACCATGAATTAGGCTATAAATAGCTGTACCATTATTCCGAATTTTAATTGTGCGCCTTCATAATTTGCGTGGATGAAATGTGGAGACCCAAACTATAGGCTTCTGTAGGTCTGAACCTGCCGAGTTCTAGAATGCGTTTTAGAACGTTTTAATTATATGTGCTGGCTTTTCTCCATTTTATTTTACAGTTTGTATCATGTTAAATACCCAAATATATTTATAATTGTCACTTTAGTGTTCGTTTTCTTCAATTTGTTGCTTATATTTTAGCATAATTCCACTACGTTTACCTTTCTTTCCTCTGTCACATCTGTGTAGTTGTTCCTGAGGGTTGCTAGCATTAGTGGATCATATTAGGCTAGAGTTCCACGATAATTTAGGACGAGTATGAATCATTATGGAACTCGGACCACACATAGCAGGTTAAACCTGGAGCACGGTTCACGATGACGGGACCGTTGTCATACACTTCTATGACTATTGTTCAACCCCTATTGTACACTTTTTCCCCCATCTTCCAATATGTCATGGATTGAATTTGAATATGACAACTTTCAGGAGTAATCAAACCACTGCATTTTTGATTCATCAATATATTTAATGCATACACACTCTCCTAACCCTAAAATGGGCCTAAATAATCCACAAGATCAGAGTATTTTTTAAATCTACCAGTTGGTGCTGAAACATATTAGCTATATTCTGAACCTGAGTTTAATTAAAGACCTGGAACCCTGATTACTGGACATTTTATCTTGTTGTGCTGCTGTGGCTGTGTGTGTGTGTGACTGTGTGTGTGTGACTGTGTGTGTGTGTGTGTGTGTGTGTGTGTGACTGTGTGTGTGTGTGTGTGTGTGTGTGAGCAACTGTGTCAAACCAAATCCAATGTTGATGGTCACATACAGTGGGGAGAACAAGTATTTGATACACTGGCGATTTTGCAGGTTTTCCTACTTACAAAGCATGTAGAGGTCTGTAATTTTTATCATAGGTACACTTCAACTGTGAGAGAAGGAATCTAAAACAAAAATCCAGAAAATCACATTGTATGATTTTTAAGTAATTCATTTGCATTTTATTGCATGACATAAGTATTTGATCACCTACCAACCAGTAAGAATTCTGGCTCTCACAGACCTGTTAGTTTTTATTTAAGAAGCCCTCATGTTCTCCACTCATTACCTGTATTAACTGCACCTGTTTGAACTCGTTACCTGTATAAAAGACACCTGTCCACACACTCAATCAAACAGACTCCAACCTCTCCACAATGGCCAAGACCAGAGAGCTGTGTAAGGACATCAGGGATAAAATTGTAGACCTGCACAAGGCTGGGATGGGCTACAGGACAATAGGCAAGCAGCTTGGTGAGAAGGCAACAACTGTTGGCGCAATTATTAGAAAATGGAAGAAGTTCAAGATGACGGTCAATCACCCTCGGTCTGGGGCTCCATGCAAAATCTCACCTCGTGGGGCATCAATGATCATGAGGAAGGTGAGGGATCAGCCCAGAATTACACGGCAGGACCTGGTCAATGACCTGAAGAGAGCTGGGACCACAGTCTCAAAGAAAACCATTAGTAACACACTACGCCATCATGGATTAAAATCCTGCAGCGCACGCAAGGTCCCCCTGCTCAAGCCAGCGCATGTCCAGGCCCGTCTGAAGTTTGCCAATGACCATCTGGATGATCCAGAGGAGGAATGGGAGAAGGTAATGTGGTCTGATGAGACAAAAATAGAGCTTTTTGGTCTAAACTCCACTCGCCGTGTTTGGAGGAAGAAGAAGGATGAGTACAACCCCAAGAAGACCATCCCAGCCGTGAAGCATGGAGGTGGAAACATCATTCTTTGGGGATGCTTTTCTGCAAAGGGGACAGGACGACAGCATCGTATTGAGGGGAGGATGGATGGGGCCATGTATCGCGAGATCTTGGCCAACAACCTCCTTCCCTCAGTAAGAGTATTGAAGGTGTGTCGTGACTGGGTCGTGACTGTGGTCCTCTGTAGCTCAGCTGGTAGAGCACGGCGCTTGTAACGCCAAGGTAGTGGGTTCGATCCCCGGGACCACCCATACACAAAAATGTATGCACGCACGACTGTAAGTCGCTTTGGATAAAAGCGTCTGCTAAATGGCATATTATTATTATTATTATTATTCCAGCATGACAACGACCCGAAACACACAGCCAGGGCAACTAAGGAGTGGCTCCGTAAGAAGCATCTCAAGGTCCTGGAGTGGCCTAGCCAGTCTCCAGACCTGAACCCAATAGAAAATATTTGGAGGGAGCTGAAAGTCCGTATTGCCCAGCAACAGCCCTGAAACCTGAAGGATCTGGAGAAGGTCTGTATGGAAGAGTGGGCCAAAATCCCTGCTGCAGTGTGTGCAAACCTGGTCAAGACCTACAGGAAACGTATGATCTCTGTAATTGCAAACAAAGGTTTCTGTACCAAATATTAAGTTCTGCTTTTCTGATGTATCAAATACTTATGTCATGCAATAAAATGCAAATGAATTACTTAAAAATCATACAATGTGATTTTCTGGATTTTTGTTTTAGATTCCGTCTCTCACAGTTGAAGTGTACCTATGATAACAATTACAGACCTCTACATGCTTTGTAAGTAGGAAAACCTGCAAAATTGGCAGTGTATCAAATACTTGTTCTCCCCACTGTACATATATTTAGCAGATGTTATTGTGGGTGTAGCGAAATGCTTGTGTTTCTAGCTCCAACAGTGCAGTAGTATCTAACAATTCACAACAACACACACATCTAAAAGTAAAATAATGGAATTAATAAATATGTAAATATTAGGACGAGCAACGTCGGAGTGGCATTGACTAAAATACAGTAGAATAGAATACAGTATATACATATGAGATGAGTAAAGCAGTATGTAAACATTATTAAAGTGACCAGTGATTCCATGTCTATGTATATTGGGCAGCAGCCTCTAAGGTGCAGGGTTGAGTAACCGGGTGGTAGCCGGCTAGTGATGGCTATTTAACAGTCTGATGGCCTTGAGATAGAAGCTGTTTTTCAGTCTCTCTGTCCCAGCTTTGATGCACCTGTACTGACCTCGCCTTCTGAATTATAGCGGGGTGAACAGACCGTGGCTCGGATGGTTGATGTCCTTGATGATCTTTTTGGCCTTCCTGTGATATCGGGTGCTGTAGGTGTCCTGGAGGGCAGGCAGTGTGCCCCCGGTGATGCGTTAGGCAGTGTGCCCCCGGTGATGCGTTAGGCAGTGTGCCCCCGGTGATGCGTTAGGCAGTGTGCCCCCGGTGATGCGTTAGGCAGACCACACCACCCTCTGGAGAGCCCTGCGGTTGCGGACGGTGCAGTTGCTATACATCTGTGTGTGACTGTGTGTGTGCGTCCATAAGAAAAGCAGACCCCAGGACCCAGTGATAACCAGTTTATTCTCAGCTCCATGTTACTGTAGGCTATGTACATAATTGACAGAGCAGAGTGAGGCACATTGTCTGAACACTTCTACACAATATACTGGATGTATAGCACTGGTGATGCTAACACTAGGCTAAAGTATAGCACACGTGATGCTAACACTAGGCTAAAGTACATCACATGTGATGCTAGTTATAGGCTAAAGTATAGCACATGTGATGCTAGTTATAGGCTAAAGTATAGCACATGTGATGCTAGTTATAGGCTAAAGTATAGCACATGTGATGCTAGTTATAGGCTAAAGTATAGCA